GTGAGTGAGAATATGCTCGTTGCTTCCTCACCCTTTTGACTCCATTGAAGAGATCGTGTCGAGAACTGTCGCTGGGAGCGAGCGGAAGTGCGTCAGAGCCGAATTCAAAATTTGATCAAGGAGTGTTGGTGTTGACGTTGACAGCCTCGCAAATCATTTCGAATCATGCCGTTCGCCATTCACGGAAGAGCCCAGCGAAGTTCTCCGGTGCGAGTTTTCGTACACGGCTCGGAGGTGGGCTGATAAAGGGAAACGCACCCGTGTTCAGAGCAATCAGTCCTCCTTTTCCGTTGCAATGGCTGTCATCCGGAGCTCGGCGAGCTTCAGCTTTCGGATAGATCGCACTGAAATTTCATTTGCTCGCTCAGCAATCTCCCTGGTTTTCCTCCATCTGAGAAGCTTCTCCCGCTCTTTCTCGGAAGTGAAGTGCCTCGCGAGGTGAGATTAGGAGGTGGCGGTCCGATTGCATCTTCTGGCGTGCTGTACGTACTCTTTCCAAGAGCTCGGGACACGCGTCTCATCCTACGGAGGGAAGAAATTAAATGCGTCTAATGAAGGGCAAATCATGAAAGGGAAATGCGCCAGAAATGGAGACACATATAAAATGGGAGCTATGGGCATACACGTAAATCATCATGGATTTCTAGTAGGATCTCAGGATAATTTCCCGAATGGCAATCCGGAAAATGAGTTCAGTGTTCATCTCGTAACCCCCGTTGTCGTCCCGTGGGTAGAATGCCGCGACTTTTTTCTAAGGAATCGAGGAGCAAACATCGATCTCAATGGACTTATGCAAGTTTCGCCCGCCTCGATTGACTAAGCCATCTCCCCAGCCCATCGCAAAGAAAGCACTTGCAGCAGTGAATTGGGAGAGGGGAGGCGTGGGGGAAGGAATTGAACGTAGAGCGAGCCGATCGATGCAGGGCGGTATATTCCGGGATCAGAAGGAATCTGACGGAAATAATGCAAGACTCTGTATTTGCAATCAACCATCCCTTCTCTCGGATTTCCGAAGTACTCAGATAGAAGAAAACGCTAGTTTCAGTTCAATCGGGACCTTCAGCTCCTCAACCAAAAAGAGACCAAGTCTGCAATCAGTTGGCTTGAATATTTGCAACAATCTTTATTATTCAGTCTCAATTCGCTCATCTTCTCTTTTTGTAGTTGGTATGTTTCGTCATATTCAATCTATCCTGTTGCTTTCATCGACACCTTCATCATCTCTTAACACAATTATTATGCTTGTCATTACAATAATTATATCGACATTGAACATCATCATCATGATAATATGTTGAAGTTGCAATGATAAGCGTGATTCGATCATCTTATTATGGGAGACATCAATATGTAGTGGATACCATCTTAGTTTTCACCTGCTCTCCAACATTTCAATCCTCCTGTCAGCTCCTTCGGAATGCAACATCGACGAAGTCATTCTGCATATATCCTATTCGCTCTGGGATCCTGTTTCAGATGAATCTGACATCTTCTGGAAGCTCCCTCAAGATTCGTCATAATGCGTTCTTTGGTCTATTTTAATGCATGTGTGTCAGTATCTCCTTTTTCTGCCCCAGATACGAGCAGAAGCTTACAACGATCTTCGGCTCATCAATCATTCTTTATCTATATATCATCTTCCAATACTATGACCGGAAGAATCGCGCTCGCAATAGACTATCAATGGGGCTCCTTACTTTCGTGCCGAGAACGAGAAACTTCACTCAGTTTTGGAGTGGAGCATACCGTCGACTTCGCGACCGAAAATTGAGGTTGTTTGTTGTGTTTCTTTTCCTCCCCTGAAGTTCCCGCCTCTAGGGAAAGAGCAGAAGAATGCTCTGATGTTCTCAATTCCTCGAGCGAGAAGATTCCCTAGGAGCGATTGATTGTATCTACAGATTCTCTGTGGCTGCTCTCATCGATGCCTTTCGTGCGAACCGCACGCAGCGTGAGAGCTCACCCGTTCCCTTCGACGTCCTTATGGACTCACTGCGACGAGACGATTCAGCTCCTCGATTTTTCAAATAATTTGAGATCGTGGTTCCGCTCGAGACGAACGGAAGTATATGTTTATGTATTCCTCATCGGTCAGTAGAGTAGTAGTCAGCGACTCGGTTCTTTTCGAATTTTCGGGTAGGCAGAATACCCTTCCGAAACTTCTCGTTCCGAAATGACTTGACTCGTGACGGTCAATGCTGATTTGCTTCCAGATGTGAATGTCAGTCTTATTTGGTAGTTGCCCCCATTATTGAGGGACTTCCATGAGCGGGACCATGTACCTTGAACGCCGACAACCACCAGGCGTTGAGCATGGCATTTCGTCGGACTAATGGTGCTTCGGTGCTCGGTACTCCGAAGTTCCAATAAATTGGATAATCGAGATAGGGAGAGAAAAACTGGAGGGTGCGTTTGAATTTCTCATCTTACTAATTCATCGACTCTCAGTTGTGTCACTCGACCACGCTCCCAACGGATCGGGATGCTCCGATTCGGAGCTCATCAAGCTTGTGTCATCCGCCGTCAGCCGAGCTCACGCACAAAGTGTGCTTGGCAACCCTGATTGTGCCACAGATAAAATCGTTGTCGACAAAGTTCTCGGGACATTCTCCCGGAAATCGATGTGGTCATGCGGGACGGCTGGAACCGGTCATGTACGCTGTCTACGTTCACAACGGAGCGTTCGTGTGTAGTATGCATGGACTCGTGGGGCGGGAGTTCCTCTAGATAAGATCGGCTCGAACACTTTCGTGTTGGAAACTAGTGCTCGTTTTCATTACAATATAGATGTGTATATATATCTCTGAGTCAGCAAGCATGTGCATCCACTCGCTCACTGCTAATTGCACGGGTTTTTTCGATAGTTTTCTTGCGGAATCCGCTCTCAGCCTCCGGACTCTACAGGCTTTGCAACGACGGCCCTTAGCTCCTCTAGACAAAACGCCGATTGATCCATCAATCATATATGGTCTGCGACGTCGCCTAATTCTAGCTTGGACGATGTCTCTGCTCGGTATTCATTGTCGTGGAGACACTCGGCCCTCTCCTTCCTACGGAAGCACTGCTCTAACGTAAGAGTAAAACTATATCTGTACCTGCGTCTACAGTCCGCCGGTCTCTTAACGTTCCAAGGGATCCGCGCGTCTGCACAATATCTTCGAAACAGACATCGACATTGTTCCAAAGAGTTTTTCTTTTTTTTCTGTCACTCTACACTCCGGAGATGCTCTATTGAACTCCTTACGATCCTGTCTACTACGAAACTTCTTCCTACACGAGTCGCAGTCCGACATGAGCTACAACGTTCATTTGGGCTGGACAATTCCTCTGCCTGCACGGGAACGTGAGTCCCATTACAACTTGAGGGATTGGAAGGTCGCTCATTCGCAGAGGGTCTCCTTCATTGGAGGCTCGAGCCAGTCCACCGATGGGAACCCCCCGATGAAGTTTTTTCGCTTGTTGATATATCGGCCAGATCAGCCTCCAGATACTAGTTTGTACAACACTGCTTTGTCTTTATGAGTGAGTTTGTGGCTCTGTCAGATTGACGAGAGATTATATGTGGAATCTAGAGCTTCTGACTGGATTGCGATTGGCTTTTCGGATTTCTCGTGGTGCCGTGTTTCGTGGAGAAGCGACCCATAGTCTTCCGAAATCAACGTTTATGTATGTTGCGAATGGGGATGCGTAGGCGACCGAAATGAGAGCGGAGAGAAACTGAATGGTCGAGCTTTGAAATGGAGTGGAAGATACAGTGTATTTCAATGGGAGCAGAAATTATACCGCGACATCGCGAATGCTGCCCGGGATGTCTGGGATGCTCGCCGTCGCTTGAAAAAATATATATCTCTGTTCAGAAGCGACCATTGGGTAAAGGCTTTTGGCTATGACAGTCTTTACTTCTTGTCTCAGCTGATCCGGTGGAGTAATTCTTTAATTTTCGAGTCTGAGAACAGGGAATTCCCTCGAACTCAGAGAGCATCATATTCCCTGATGGAACGACACAGAGGGGCATTCACTCGCCTTACAGGCCTCAGAATGGATCCCAATCTGGCTCAGCAGACCTGTATCTATGTCTCTCGGGTGGAGATTTCGGGGAGACTGATGATATGCTGGATTCGTTTTTCCTTTCGCTTGTCGACGGTATATCTCGGTTACTTGTCGTTCAGACGGGGACCTCAGACCCTTGTATGAGTCTCCCGGCACCGAACTGAAGGCTTCCGGTTTGGGATTCCCCTCCTAGAGTTGGCTAGTTCAAATTAGGTCATACATGTGATCGTGTAGTCCTGCTACTACTGATTATGTTTAACCGTTGCACGAGAGAAAAGAAAATCCGCATCGCCTGATTGCCGGGACGAAGCTCGTCCGTCCGTCCGCTCGCTCACCTGCCCACTGACTCGAGAGTCGATGGCGAGTTGACGGGAGCGCGGAAACGACGGTGGCGGTCGTGGTGTTGAGGGTCGTGGGGGAATTCATTCGCTCTCATATGGTACATTTACATTGCCTCTCCGTTCTGTTCCTGTGTTGCTTCTATTTCTGGCGCGTCGCTACTTTCATCTACAACGCACCTCTGTCACTATTCCTACGACTAAGACGACGCCTTCCACTGACTGAGTCGCGCGTAGGCCCCCACCGACCACCGACAACACGAGCCAGCGTGTCGCAGCCTCGCGCGGGCGAGCGAGCGAGCGGACGTCCGCCCTCCGTCCACCCCCACAGGAAAGGACCCCATCCGACGCACGCTGTTCGGATCAGTCCCTTTTCGACTCTCTCTCCTGGCGCTCGTAGAAGTCTGAATCGTCGTCGGCGTCGCTATTCGTCCGACCGTCGTCTCGAACAAGGTACTTCATGCATCAAACACCTATACGCTACGTTCGCTTCGATTTATGTACAGTCGACCCTGAAGAACCATGGATGAGGTTGTGGAGCACCCCATGAAAGGTAGAGAAACTTCTCTGTAGGATTGTTGTAATCTGTGCTGCCATTTAGCTAATGGGGAAACGTTACCACTCGAGTTGATTTGGACCTACAACGGCTTCGTCAGACAGACCATCACACTGAGAGAGCGGCGTATTCGTCATACTGCCACAGACGTCTTCGACGGGCAAAATGTCTTTTCGGCTTGCTGTGAATCCAAGTAAATCGGGACTGGGTCCATTTAGTGGTTGGAGAGTGTTGACGGGGGGCAGACTAATCATTTGACTCGCTTCTGGCACCGGGTCCTGGGCGCGGCACATTCCCACGACGTTCAATCCATTGTACCCGGAACTGTCGATGGAAGTTTCGGCTTCGCAGAACTGATACGGCCGTTCATCGCCGCGAATGTCACAAATGACGTTCGTTAATGCCATGATGTAGTTTTTCGCTAATGTTAGGGTCTCGATTTTGGACAGTTTGCGTTCCATAGCCACATGAGGAATAACCTCTCTCAACGCCTGATCGAGGAAGAAGAGGGGAATTAGGATCCGAACTCGTTCGTATAAGCCGGGAGAAACGTCCGACGCTTGAGAAGAAAATCCACGTCAGCCACATACCTGGAAGGCGTCATTGAGACTGTGCATCCGCATCCTTTCCCTTTCGTTCGACTCGAGCCTCCGTAGATTCCTCTCGCGGGCACTAAGCGTAGTCCTTCTTCTCCGCAAGCTGTTTTGAGAGGCGGGGTTCTGGTTGGCGTTGGCCACCGGACGCTTTCCGGTCCCGCACCTCGAATTGTATTGGCTGCCGCTCTGCTGACTCGAGCTCGAGTCGCCATCTTCGCCTTCTTCAATCGAAAAGCAGAAAAAGTTTTGCTTTTAACGGAGTTCCCAGACCCTGTCATCAGGGCTCGAATTTCGCCGGAGCTCGCGATCCCTCAGAGGAGGATCACAAGCATCGAGAGGAGGATGAATCGATACGTGGATGAGGAATGCCGGAGGAAAAATAATTTCTGCCCCGAACGTGAGGTATGTCTGACTAAACGGGACGACCTATGCCGCAGTCGAGTGGATCGATGCAATATGTCGTGTGCTATTTGTTTGCATATTGCTCTTTGGCTAAGTACGAAGGAGGGACGAAAGCCGCCTCGTTGTCGATGCAGCAGTCGCCTTTCTCGCATTTCGAGCCGTCGCAGCTGCGGGGGCCGCACCGCCGACGTCATCATCGATGTGACTTTCTTTGTCTTCTCGTACTGTTTTCGCAAGTCATTCCCATCTTCTTCCGATTGCTGGCTCTTAGACAGTCGCCGGAATTTCATCGACAGGCAGAGATTTCCTTTGGAGGGGACGGGGGAAGGGCACGACAAATGGGGGGAGGGACCGGAGGCTGCATGAGAAAGCGCATCCGGGATCAACTTACCTGAAAGAAGTTGTCTTTTGGCCGGGGGATTCTCGGCTTCTGAAGACCCTGCTTCGGAGCAAGCCGATGTGTCTTTCATTTTGTCCGGCGGTCCGTGATGTTCTTCTAGTTGTGCCAGAATCTGTGACAACGACGGTTGTTCGGCCTCGTTGGGCCAATCGGCGTTCAACGGGTCTTCTGACTGCATTTCATCAGATCGCGACCGCACCATCTCTGTAATCAAACAAGGAATGATGATCAATACACCGAGTCTCGGCCGCGGTCTCTTACCCCGCCTATCGTACGCTTAGTCCACGGTGTTGAGACACTGCGAAAAGCCAGAAAACATTTCTGTGTTTTCGAGTCAGACCGGGCTCACACAGTTAAGAGACCCGCGGCTGAAACTCGTCAAGGATCCTCTCTGAGCCATTTGGCGATTGCGACCTCACTCAGTCAACGTGCTGTTGCTGTCCGGCTCGGGGTTCACGGGGCTCCTTATCTACGGCTCAGAGGCTCACTGTAATTGGGGTTCCTTGACGGATCTTGTGGTGCACGTCGAGTGCCGCGAAGTCGAGTGGTAATCATCATGATAATCGCCGGCGGGGTCATGAACATCGCGTCATCGATACCGGTGGTCGTCAACAATCGACCATCAGCAACGAGAGCCGTTGTCGGCCGATGCCCACCTCCGCAACGAGTCGAACAGATCAGATACGCCGGGGAAGGGGTTGTTCCAGTCGGGAATAATCCACCGATGACCCAGTCAGTGTTCAGCTTAGGAGCAGTCGTCAAGTGGGGTCGAACGAGCACGCATGAAGCGCGACTGATCTTCGGAGATTTGTTTCGGTATGTGTCAGCATCGAGCTCCTTTTCCGAGTAGCGCTCCAAGTTATTTGGACATCTAACTGTCTCTCCAATCGGAAGTTAACATAGGACATAGTCAGGCAAGCCGAACGACCGTCGGTCGCTCCTCGCGTCGGGGGATCGCGGGCTGCTCGTAAACCTACTGGCCCGGAACTTTCTTGATAGCAGAGATATCTGACTTACTTGCCGTCCGGCCGGCCTGCCACCCAGCGAGCTAACTGACTAACTGGTTTGCTTGCTTGCTGCCCCGCTCGCTTGTTCGGATCCGAGATCAGCTCGGCTCAGTCAACGCAGATCAACGTTCGACAGATCCACTGACTGGAAGGGGGAGGGGGAAGGGATAAAGGAAAGAAGACGGGAAAATCGTCGGTGGGACTTCCTACTCGTGCATCGATCGAGGTAAACGGAACTCTCTGCATGAAATCACCAAGAGTCCGATGAGCTGATTCGACTCGGCGCACACTCGAGCGTATGTCGACCCTGCCTCCACCGGGGCAGTCGTCTCGGGCAACCGGACGGTCTGTATATTTATTCGGAAAGACGTACGGTCCCGGGGAAACACCCGGTAAGTGAGTCAGCTGCCGTCGTCTCGTGTTACGACGCTTATAAATGCGCTTCAATAAATCACATCTCATCGATATAATCATCATATCCATAATGACCGCAAGCCGCGTAAATATTTGGGACCCGAAGCTAGCATGCTCGCTCGATTATCCGGTGCTCGGGGGCCGTGATAGTTCGCCGAAACGCACATGGCGTGATTCTGTTCTCCGTGATTCTGCTCCCCGCTTTTCCCTCTTTGCCTCCTCGAGGCTTCTAATAAAATTGAGTGCAAACAGTCTACGCGTCTACGGTGTTTCGTGTGGGTGGACAGTGAGTTTTCCACTCGGCGTAGACCTGCGACACTGTTGCGAATATTGTCGCATGACTACGGAGACCGCGCGAACGTACAACGTTGGTCGCTCTCTTTACTCAGCGTGGCTGCTCCTTCTGCGTGAGTGAAATTCGTTCGAGCCAATGACTGAAATGAAGTTCCACTCGCTACGAGGAGTAAAAAGCCGGCGGAGCGAAAATGGCAGGCGACGGGGTACGGACAGTGCGGACGAGACACTGTCAGGGAAGGAAAATATCGTGTTCCGCACACACAGAACCTTCGTCTTGTTCCAGTCTGGGGGAAAGCCGCGACAGCGACGAGGACAGTGGACGAGTTCTTGCGAGGGACGGCTGCTGAAAATCTCCACTTTCCTTAACTGAGTTAGCTCAAAAACGGCCGTCCGGATTACTCGAACTCTGGAGAGGAGGAACTCCTATGGCTATGAACGAAACATGATGAGAGGTGAACTGGACCACTTCTACGACACATCAAACAAAGGGACCGAGGGTCAAGCTTCGCCGAAAAAAGAAACACTCTTCGGAAACCCACATTTTGCCGAGACTATAGCGGGTCCGTTGGTTCTTCGGGAACCTGTACGCGGAAAACCAACGAATGTATATGCATTTTGTTTTCGTCTCCAGGAACCGATCGTCAGGAGGGTTGGTGGACGTTCCTCGGCGAGACATTGCGAGATTCGCAGTACTTCTGGATTTGTGGCGAACATCGGTGGGTCGAGATGGGAGCAAATGAATATCGAAGTTCGATACGCTACACCGGAGACGAGTATCCGCTTGTGTGAGTGTTAGTTCACTTTGAGGAGCATGTTCTGTGTCTGCGGGAGTTTCTTTCTCAGTCATTAATCGCATCAGATCGACCGCCTAAGCCAATTTTCATTCATTAGACTGCCTGACATCGTTCCGAGTTCCGAGTCATTCCTCGGCGGCTATCTTTGGTGCGCCGGAATCGCGCGATGTGCTCAGAATCTGAGCGAGGATCTCTGCGGTATGTCGGGAGGTCACATCCAACATCGTTGTGCGAGGGATTTCTGGTCGGAACGGAGCGTGGCCGATAGGGCTTCAGCGTACGAACGTTCAAACCTGAGCTGTCACTTGTCCGCCAGAGGATCTTGAGAGGAGCCGCACCGTGATCTCTACGGATGCGATCTGCTTCGAGGGGGGCATATGACGCTCGATAAGAGTATTGACGCAAGCCCGAGCTGATTCGCTGGCGCCATGGATCTTCTCTCGAACACCCTATTGCAGTGGAATGGATGCAGCCGGCTGGGACCCATTAAAGGCCGACCGCGAAGTCTATCAACACGAGGCTCCACGGTGTCGTCTCGTATTGCGTAACAGTTCGATCATCATCTGCGTTGCCCTACGGCCACTCGTGGATGACACTCGTTTTGACACAAGAGCGACTTCCGGTCACGGCTTCATTACCGATGTTAAGCGGAGCCACCTGTCGGACCGTCGATCTTTCCAGATCAATGGCATTCTCGGATCATTATTCAGCCCAAGGAAGTAGCTCGCCGTTGTCCCGGCGAGGCCCGGGCGATTTCGGGGCTTCCTTTTCAGGAAATCCCCGCGAAAACTCACGGTGGAGGCCGGAGGTACCTAGCTGCGAGTCGCTGTTCCGAGAAACCGCTCGCTCCGGGGACGCCACTTCCCAGAGCGACGGAAAACGGATGGCTCCGCGAATATTGGTCGCTCAGCGTTTGTGCGAGTTGCTCAACTGTATCGTGCATACAAGGAAGAAGTTGCCGCATTCGCCGAACGAACAAGCCGCAGGTTTCCAGTTAGCAGCCAGTGACGAAACCCCGATCCTGCACCGCTCGCCGGAGAACATCCTTCAGCCGAAAAAGCAAGCGGGCTCAACAGGATGCCTTAGCCCCAGATCGATCAATCGATCGAAACCTAACGTATTTCTTCTCCCCGAGAGAATATGGGTTTCGAAACTTCATTTTTCAGCGATGAGCCGCGGCAAACAACCGGTGTCCGGTACGCCTCGCGAACGTCGACCGAGAATCGTGAACACGCGCGACGGGAATGCGTCAGACAAGCCCTCAGTTGGTCGATGCGAGCGGGAATCCGCGCCTTCCCGACCGCCGGATCTTATGCTCGGGGAGTTTCCCAATAAACATCGGAGGCACGAACTTCACTCGTAAAGCGAACATGGCCTGTCGTTCTGTATTTCTTGGGGAGCAGGGGGGCGGGGGCTGAAGACGACGACGATGTCGACCACGATGCCGACGCAGAATACGTGGACGGCTCCAAGGTAATAACTGCGGTAGCGGCAAGGACAACAACAACGGCGGGAGCGGGCGCAGAGGAAAATAGACCGAACACGAGCGTAGGAACTGAATGCTGGCGCGAGTCACTGGAGAGACAACAATTGCGTCAACCGCCGACGTCAAGCGTTTGTCGACCGCCCAGTGATTAGGTTACGCTGCAATTCCTACCGGTGGGGCGTTTGTGGTGGGTACGGTCTGTCGAACGTACGTCCGTGAGTTCTCACTCGAGTCGAGGGTCCGTGCAGACATCAGCCCAGTTCGACGGCAGTTGCGGCACTGGCGGCAGGGAGGTATGGATCCCCTAGTGAGAGGTCTCTCCGGCTCGTTTTCTGATCTTTCAGGATGCTGGTCCGGTGCTCCTCCGCTCCCTACCGAAGATCCTGCCTACGAGCCAGAAGACGTACTGCGACTTCCGGCCGCAACCCGCATACTGATGAGGCGGGACGAACCACGAGACACGTGGGTCTGAATGAAAATACATGCGATCCGGGAGGAATGATTACGCCCGAAGTTTTGATAAAGTAGACAGATTACGATGATCCCGCCTACTAACATCGATGTGCTATACAATATATTAGGCAATATATTGTCGTCCGCTCATAACAGGAGATAGTATCCCGGTATTTCCATGATTGCACGATGAGCCCACGGATGAGATCAGAGCGGGTTCTCACGTCCGCCGCGCGTCTTTCTTCATACTGTGCTCGTTTATATCAATGAGTCCGGGCGGATTCGAGCAAAAATCATCAGACGCTCCATGCTCCGGTATAATCGCGACGAACGAGCATTGATATGAATAATAAGAATGATCACGGCCGAGCGCATGGCCGCGCTAGCGAAGGGCTAATCCCGACTTTGCAGGCATAAGATCTCTCCCGGTCGACCTATATGCGACTCCTGCGAGCACCACTGATGATGACTGTGCTATATCCATCCCCCGCGACCGATGTTATATATATTTCATGGTTGTGATGAGCGAGCGGCAAAAGCTGACGGGCAAACATTTTCTTGTGTCAGTCAAATCACCGAGAATATCGCGGTGCCCCTCCGTAGTAAAACTACACCCCCAATGTCTCAGATCGGTAGTTTCCTCCTCTCATCCTTTGGCTTAGGACGGGTCGGCCGGTCGGGCTTCACTATCGCATTGCCCTCGCCCCCTTATTAGGAGTTGCGCGCTCGTTAGACTCGCTCTCTGTATCAC